GCATTTTGTTAAATGTGTGAAGTGAAATTCAAAGTTCCTTAATAAAGGGCAAGCTCAATATTAGGTTTTATTTTGAAATTATATTTAAAGAATTGGAATCAAGATCAAAGTTTTTATGACATGTCTCTACTAATTTCAAAACAAAGCCATTTTAGCATGTCTTTCGTTAAGAAAATTTGAATTTTACTCGAGCATGTATGCTAAAAAAATCATATGCCAAAATACTACTCCCCAAATTATAAATTCAGATGTTCTTTTTTGGAATTTTGGAAAACATTTTTTAGGCCAAACAAGTTAAACAATAAATGGAAATACTTGTTGACTTATAAAAAATCTTATTATTATTTTGTTAAGATAAAATTGTATTACAAGTTGACCAAAAGTCTTTTTTCCATAAGAATGTTTGAAAAAGTTCGATAATGAAAAGGCATTATATATTTTGTTTATTCGGCACATACAGGGTATACTTTTGTAATTACCACACAAAAGTGCATTTCAAAAATAAAGGTTCATTATAATGTCGAATTCAATCCACAAAAACACATGTTCAAACAATCACGTATGGACCTTACACCTAATCAATAGATCTAATCATGTATGTGATTGATCGTTGTCTATCACATTAGTTAGATCTAATAGATCCAATTACAAGATATTTTGTCTACTGTTTGTCTACTTTCTAAATAAAAAATACAAATATATATATTTTATATATTATCTTGTACGACGTAATATGTAGTAGCCAACATTTAGATCAACAATTCAAAGTTATCTGGGAGTACAATAGCAATCCCTAAAACCATATGTGCATGTTTCATCACAGAGAACCCAATAAGCCAAGCTAGATCAGTTTGCTATCTAGGCACCCAATTATCACACCAAATACCAATACTCTTTCCATCCCAACTCTCAAAATTATAACTTTATTTGTTAGAAAGAAGGCACTTTAACCTCGAATATACGACTGGTACAGATGATGTGTGGCACACTTAATTTTTTCTAGAAACGTTTTTCCTATTTGTGTAGCCTTTTGTTTCTGGAACATATAGTGGCACTATGTTTGGTGGAACATTTTTTACCGACCCCTTTCTAAGATAGAAAAAATTACCCACTTGTTTCGACGGAATATATATTAATGTTTTGCTGTAGAATTCCATATAGAGAACGATTTTCTACTAGTAGGAAAAAATAAAAAAATATCTAGAAGAGGGTGTGCAACTTATATGCATTATTACAGTCGCACTTGCGATTGCGACATATCGATATCGTACACCGAATTTACTGTCCCCGATTTTTTTTTTGAAGGCTATTTACGGGCACAGCCGTCAGTTGCACAGCTCGGGCCGAATGAACCCAGCAACTACGGCATAAACTGGCCCAATAAGACTGACACCCATACGTAAAGGCCAGTTAGAAGAACCCGGCACGATCAAGAAGGCTACGACGTGTGTGGTTTTCCCTTTTTCCTTTTTTTTGTCCGGTGCTCTACGTATGCAATTAGACAATAACACCAATTTCTTTTACGAATTACGTAGGCACACACAAAACTTATCCCTACGAGCATCCCTAAAAGATTAAGCTGATAAATTTTGAGATCGATGAAGTTACCGTAGCTGCCAAAATCTAAAATAATAAATAGAGAAAAATGTGAAACCCGTGACGTTGCCGTCTCGTCAAAGTTAAATCTTGCCACGAAAGGATCAGTTTCAGTATCTACAGAAGCTTGACTTTGTCGGGTTTTGTGGTCGCTTTCTCAAAACTAAAATTATTCACTAAACCAGAATCAAGCTGCTTTGTATTCCAGGTTTAGTACTATCGAGAGTATGGATTGAAGCGGCTGGATGGCCTGACGCCGCCTTATCCAACTGCAACGTGCAACGTGCAACGGATACTTTCGACACTACTTCAGTATTACTTTTTAATAAATAGTATTTTTTTCGTAACAAGTCAGTGTAAGCGTTAGCACAATGTTTCCGAGCGCCCAGCGGTCTTGGCGATCCATCGTCGCATCCGCCGCCCTCTTCTGCTGCAGTTCTACGCCCCTCCAGCTAGCAGCTGTACCAAGCCCGAGAAGCCGAGGACAGTGACAGCGTCCCTTTACGCCGTCCAGCTAGCCCGTACCTACACTGCAGCGAGTAGGACATTCGACCTGATCCAGTCGACGATAATGTATCGGATCAACATAGAGCCCACCTGCGTGCTTGACGCGGACGCGGACTGGCAGACGCAGTGGTCACGCCATGCCATGCACAGCGCGACAGGGCAGGGCAGCGGGCCTGGGCAGCGCGAGTGGTCACCGGGCCTTTCGGGCGACGAACGCGACACCAGCTGCCCGAGGACTCACACCACGGGAGACGGGGGGCGCCTTTACTACCATTGCCAAGTCGTAGGGGCCAGGGAGCACCGAGCGCCGGAGCGCGCACGACGGTGCCGCAAGAATGCAACTGTTATGCCGGAGAGCAAAACGGGGACGCGAAGGCAAAGGCGACGCCCGACGCCGGCCGCCGGGGCCCCGGCCTGGGTGGCTTGGTTCGCCTGGCTCCTTCGGTTTCGGCGAGCCTGGAAAGGGAAGGGCCCGCGCCGCGCGGTCCACACGACGTCCCTGGCGGTCACGGGCCACCGCGGGCGCTGCGCACGCGCGAGTCGACAGCGCAAACTCCGCCGGTCGGTTTCGCGCCCCAACCGCGCCCGGCCCTGTGCGCTGTGCCCTGCCCACTCACTTGACGACAGGCTGTTTTCCCGCCAGTTTCTCGCCGTCGGATCTCAGATGCGATTCCATCCCAAGCAGCGGCCAGCGGGCGAGCGGCAGCGCCTGCTCCGGCCGGCCATGGCACCGGCCGCGGCTGGAGCTGTCGCGATCGCATCGCGCTGGCAAGATCAGCCGCACCGTTAGCCGGCCACAGGTTTTAGAGAATCCGATACGCGCCTTTAGGTTCCTCTCGGAAATGCTGTGCCATTTGTTCGAGAGCGAAAACGTCGTGTCGTGTTGTTGCAATCCTACGAGCATCAATGCGCTCGCGCGTGCACACAAATACGGAAATCTAACGACCGGTCCACCGGGAAAACGACTCTTCCAGCATCGCCAGCGCACGCAGGCAGCGCTTGCATTGCATGGTCCCCGGCCAGAACCGTCGAGGCCAGCCAGGCGAATCTGGCTCCGCGCTTTCCCACGCGACATTGCCCGGTGTCGGATCAGCGAGTCCGCGTCGGTCACAGACAAACCAGATGGAATAGCCGAGTTCACATATTTGCGCTGCAGAGCACCACCAATTGGTCAGGGAGGTCCAGAAATATACCACCCAGACGCAGTTACGTGTGCCGGTGTGCGTGTCTTCTGAAACGAAAAATTGGAAGGGTTGCTGCTGCTGCGCATGCCATGCCACCCTGGGTTTGAGATGGACACAATTTGGAAGCTGCCCCTGAAGATAAAGCTCTGTAGTTTGTACAAAGTCCAAACGCCATTACGCCAGGCGCCGCAACAGCACACCGCACACCCCCACACGCCCGCGCACAGGGCTGGACTGCGCCATCGCCAAAAATACGAGTAGAAGAATACCAGGCGGCAAGAGTGCGTTGACAAAGCTTGTTTAAACCCAGGATGTAAAGTTTTTTTTTTGTCATATCGGGTGTCATATGGGAGTGTTGTATGTGGTGTTTGGATACTAATAAAAAAACTAAATTATAGAATCCGTCAGTAATCCGCGAGACGAATTTATTAAGCCTAATTAATCCATCATTAGCACATGTGTTACGGTAGCACCACACTATGCAATTAATTATTTTTTAGTCTATATTTAATACTTTATGTATGTGTCTAAATATTCGATGGGACATGAAGTAAAATTTTAGGGGAGGAACTTAACCAGGCCTAAATCCAATGGAACAGGGCCATGCACTGGAGTCACGATCAGACAACTGGATGGCAAATTCCAGCCTCGTTGTCACCAGATATACACACGGGCCCCATCGTTTTCCTCACCGTTGTCTTGCCTTCGTTTCAGGCAAGTAGGCGGGCAGCGGACGCTTCTCCAGCAAATCAGCAGTGCAACGCTGTCTGTCCCGGGTTCCTACCGGTGGACAGGTTGTTAGCGTGGGGAGTTCGGTTAGCGCCCTGCTTTTGTTTTTGCAGGATCCACGGTCTGCACCAAAAGCTTCGGAGCACAGCTGAAGCTAGTGCGTTGTTTAGTGATGAGAACTCAGTTTAGTTGAGCTGCCTCACATGAATTAGGTGCAGCAGCGGGCCTCACATGAACATAGATGGTTAGCTGAAGCTTCTGCTCTGGAGATTTGACGGTCACCAGGCCATTTCAATGTCCAGGTAACCAAAAGCCAAAACATGTTAGCTCTATACTTCACATGAAAAGGTATCTATGTGTTCGATGATTATGGCCAGATAAGAGACCAGATCATCACGAATTATTGAGCTATTACAGGTAGTGGCCCTGTCCGTTTGTCTTGCGAGCCATACTATTTCAGCGAACAAACAATGTTTTTTTTCTCACAACAAATCAATACTTTCTATGGCTTTTCAGCAAAGCGAACAGGACCAGTGTCATGGACTCATGAACCTTCATGGCCATCCCAGAGAAAAAAAAAGGTAGTAATTGATAACAGTAAGTATCAGTGAAATGATCATAGCTGAGGCGTTGCTTCAGAAGAACACGGAAAAACTTCAGGCTAGGGTGAGACTTCTTGACGAATTCAGGATCACCTTCATTTGTAAATTGTCAATATCCGATACAACCCAACAACCCTAGCATTCTTCTACTTTAATCTTAGCAAATGACATCGTCAATTAGCAAATATTTCAAGCTTCCAGCCAATTCTGAGACAAGATCATAGCATACATGATCAAAGAGCAGCTACACGGCAGTACAGAGCCGAATAAAGAGACATGGAAAGATTGGGGGTGAAGAGACTAAAAGAATGAACACAAGGATCGCTTGAGCCTTCTATTTCAATGGAAGCATAAGGTTTTGCACACCCTAGCAGCTAACTGTCTATCTTCCATCAGCAGAGGTGAACGACTCTGCGAATCCAGGCGGCCTCGTAGGGATGCTGGTCTGAGTGTTATCCAAACTTGCAACAAATGAAGAGGTTGCACCATCAAAGTGGCTGCTATCCTCGAATGCCTGCCATCTCTTCAGAGCCTGAGGCAGGGTCATGTTCAGGTCGATACCGTAGCTGTCATCAGAGTCTGGGTCGGTTGGTTTCCAAACTTCCGAAAGGGTAGAGAGCACATTAACAGCATGGCCCATGTCAGGCCTCTGGTGTGCTTCCCTAGCGCAGCAGTGACCAGCAAGCTCTGAAACAGTACAAACACTAGCATATGTCTCCTCATCAAGGTCAATAACAGGGTCGATTGCTTTGCGGAATGTTTCCTTGTTGAGCTGCATTCTCCGGAACCATGTAACTAAATGCATGCTGTCTTCAGGCTGAGTCTCATCAAGTGCCTTGCGTCCTGTAATCAGTTCCATCAAGATGACCCCAAAGCTGAAGACATCAGCTTTTGTGGTCACTCGTCCAGTAACTGCAAATAAAAATGTTCATTTTTGTTAGACAGATGTTGCAAGTAGCATATCTAAATTCATCAACACACTTTTCAAAAATGGAGAATGGCTGAAATTATCAATTAGGACAATGCAGGAAAGATGATATAACTAACAATTTAGGTTACCTTGTTTCCAAACAGGAAGATGAAGGGCAAAATGCTAGTTACAATTGAAAGGTACAATTAAAGCTCCATTGATGGTCTTGGGCTATTGAAAATGTCTTAGTGGTACAAGGGAATTATCCAGCACGCAAAAGAAAACTTAAGTTTATGTTGAATAGGTAATCCGACCATAGATAGTAATGCTTGGGGTTGGGGTGAACGAACAATTACAATTTTAAATGGGTCTTACTCCGCAAATAAACTTATTCTAGTTGATCGCAAGGTCAACCAAAACTTAAAAGATCTTTTCAGGTATCACATTTGGAAGTCCAAATTTCTTAGTGAGCACCTAAAGTATCTCTCATGGAAGGTACGAGAAGCAAGTCACAAGCCACAACCAGGGGCGATGCCAGAGTATAATAAGGGTGTGCACATGCACCAGGGAAGAAAAATACAGTAGTAAGTATGCTGATTTCTACCATATAATACATCATTCACAACTAAAAAGTCATTCTAGAGGAAAGATGGTAACATGCGAGTATTCATGATATTATTATGTATATGCCATATCTCAAATGTATTATGCTTAACTGTTTGGTCGTTGAAATGAAGTCATTTCAGAGGAAAGCTATTAATATTTAACCACTAAATGATATTATTACAGGTAGCTGTAGGTTAGATGTAATGTGCTTGTCAATTGAACTGAACAATAAGCATCTATATACTTGGTAAGAAGAAATATAGGATGATCACCTGCATACTCTGGTGCGAGGTACCCAAAAGTGCCAGCAAGCCTTGTCTCTATGGAGACACACTTCCCATCAGCTGGTGCAAGTCTGACCAATCCAAAGTCTGCCACCTTGGCCTTCATGTCATCGCCAAGAAGTATGTTTGATGGCTTCAAATCTCTGTGGATAAAGGTCTGCTGGGCAAGGCTGTGAAGGTACTCGACACCCCTTGCAACATCAAGTGCAATGCTTAGTCGCTTTTTCCATTCCAATGGCCGCAAATTGTTCTCTGACCACTCAAACAGGTGTTGGCTCAGTGTCCCCTGTGGCATGTACTCATAGACAAGAATCCTTTCATTGCCATCAAGGCAGTAGCCCAGCAGTGAGACAAGGTTCCGGTGACGGACCTTGGTCAAAACAGCAATCTCTGATTTAAATTCATTTAGCCCCTTGTTACCCATCACACCAGCCTCCATCCGCTTTACAGCAATTTTCGTGCCATCATGAAGCTCACCCTTGTAAACAGTGCCAAACCCTCCTCGACCAAGGATGTTCTCCTGACTGAAGTTGTTGGTCACATTGCGGAGAACTTGGATCGAAATGACCATATTTCCACTTTCAACAACATGGATGTCCCGTGGACCACTGCTCGCTTGGCTATATGTCTCGCTTGCACGAGCACCACCATTAGCATCCCCCCCTGCAACTGTGATTTTAACCATGTCATCTGAACCTGAGTGCCGAGGATGGATAACCATGGCATGTGGACTCTGCACCCTTCCGAAAGGCTTCTGCTTTCTCTTGTAGCAATAGAATCCTAATGCAGCAACAAGGCCTAGTCCAACAACTGTACCAACCACTGAGCCTGCAATGACTCCAACAGAAGACGAAGAGGAGCCACCATTGTTACCACTGCTTCCGCTGCTGCCTCCCCCCGATGGACTGTTGTTGCTACCACCTGATCCTGCTGCTGGTGCAGGAGCATCCTTGCCTATGTTAGGGTTACCAGCAGATTTCACCACTGCACTCTTGGAAGCAAAGGTAGGAAGTTTCCCATTGAGATTGTTGTTTGACAAATCGACATCTGTCAGCAAAGGCAACGCGGCAACCTCCTCAGGCACAGTACCAGTGATGCTATTGTTAGCAAGATTTAGCACCTTAAGTGAGCTAATCTTCCCAATGGCCGGTGAGATACTGCCACTGAGACCCTTGTTGGTAAAAGTCAGCCCAGTAATGTTACCTTGGATGCAACTAACACCCGGAAACATACACGGATCATTCCCCTCCCAATCCTTAGCAAGTGAGGCCGGGTACATGAACCCAGCAGCAACCTCAAGCAGCAGGCTCACACGGGGATCGCACGGCTTCCCGGCTTCCTGCACACAGAACCGCTCTGAATCTGCTTTCATGTCTGTCCCTGCAACAAGTTGATCAGGAATCTGAGGAATCGGCCCCTGCAGCAAATTATTCGTCAGGGTCACGTTCTTCAGGGCCTTCAACTTGAAAAGACTCTCAGGCACCGGCCCTGTGAGATAGTTGTCGCGGAGTTGCAAATCCCATAGATTATCAAACCTCGCGAAGTCCGGCAAGGGCCCAGTGAATTCGTTAGATTGCAGCCACAGTTGCTCCAGAGAGGTCATGTTGCTTACAAAGCTAATCGACCCATTGAGGTGCATGCCATTGAGCCAGAGCTGCACCAGCGGCGCGCCGGCCAGCGACGCCGGTACGGGTCCTGACAGCTGGTTTAAGGCCAGCGACAGCCGCTGGAGCGCCTTCATCTCACCCAAGAAGTCTGGGAGCGTGCCAGAGACGTTGGCGCCGTTGGCGGAGAAGTTGGCGAGGGAGGCGCAGGCGGCGAGGTCGGTGGGGAGCGTCCACGACGCGAACGGGTTGTAGTCGATGTCGACGGCGGTGAGCCCGGTGAGGCCTTTGAAGAAGTCTGCGGGGATGGAGGCGAAGTTGTTGTTGTGGGCAAGTAAAACCTGAAGCGAGGAGAGCCCTGGGAGCGAGGGCAGCGGGCCGGAGAGCTTGTTCTCGAAAACCTCGAGGCGAGTGAGCTCGGTGAGGTCGCCCACCTCCGGGGGCAGGGTCCCCGTGAGGCCGCGCTTCCCGACCTGGATCGCGGTGACGCGGCCCGACGAGTCGCAGGACACCCCGTCCCACCGCTTCGGCGAGCAGGGATCGCCGGCGACGTCCCATCCCAGCGTCTTGTCCGCGCCAAGCGCCTTCGCCACCGCCCGCATCGCCGCCACGTCCGACGGCGAGGTCTCCGCCGCCGCGCCGGCCGCGAGCCCCATCAGAGCCAGGACCAGCCCGCACCACCGACCGGCGGCGCCCTCGTGCCGCCGCCGCCGCCGCGCGGTGGAGGCGGTGGGAAACGGCATTGTGTCAGAGAGAGAGAGAGACAGAGAGAGAGAGAGAGAGAGTTGGGGGAGAGATGAGAAGAGAGAGAAACTAAGTTTTGGGAGGTGAGATTTAAGTGAAGAGAGAGAGGGGGGTATAGTACAGGGCACATGGGCGGGGAGAGGGCCGGTGGCACATGCGTGGGCCCCTCCCGCCGTGTGTGCTAGGGATGCAGCCGCCCCGGCGTGATAATGACGGGACTACCCCCTCCCGGTCACGCCGGTTTGAACCCGGTCTCGCGCAGCGGCGAGGGCACGAGAAGAGCCGGGGCGGCGGGGCAGACGACGCCAGCTCACGCCCGCCGACGCGTGGGGACCACGCGGCGGTGGCTGTAAAGCGCCGCGATCCCTGCACCAAAAGGCGGGGCGATTTGCGCCTGTCTCCGCGCTGGAGCAGAGCTGGACGGCCCGCCCGGGGCCCAGACGCCAGCGTCACGAGTGTTCACGCGCGGCAGTTGGGCCATGGACTGTGGCAGAAGCGGGGGAAGGGAGAACGAAAAAAAGGCTAAGGGAATCCAAGACGGCTTCTCCCTCCCTCATATAAGGCGTGGGGCCGCGAGATTGCCGTGTCGAATCGCTACTGGGTTCAGCGCGGGCCCGGTATGTCAGTGGTGAGGTACGGACGGGTAGTCACGGACGCGTTGGCCGGCGTGCCGCGTCCGGCTCCGGAATTCAATGGACGACGGGGAGAACGGGTCGGGATCCTCTGCGGCTAGATTGCTGTACCGGTGGTCCGGTGGTACCCATCCCTCGCACGGCGTGTTGAAATGCCACTGCTGCTGTACCACTGCACGTAGCGTGTGGCATCTCTATGCGCGGCCGGCGAGTTATGTTGGGCCCCGGCTGCGGCCACGGGCCACCGCCCACCGCTGCGGTGGAGTGCCGGAGACGCAAGACGGTTGGTTGACGTTGGCGAGTATAGGAGGACACGGCGTCGGAACAGTAGGGAGCCATTGCCCCGCAATGGAGGCAAAGGTGGTGTTGGTGTGGCTGGCCAGAGTCCCAGAATTCGCCACGATACAGACAACACTCTTCGGAAATTCTCGTTAATGGTGATTTCTAGGATTTCGGGGGCAGTTTTGATCATCGTCCTCCGTGAAGATTCCACGGCTCAGGCTGGGAGAATCTCCTGCCACTAAAAAAATAAAGTTGGAATATTTTTTGGGGTGATATTTATTTTGTTTTGTCCATCTGTCCACGTCTGCGATTCCACAACATCTTAATTACTGATTGATCGTGCCATTCTTCTTAATTGAATATTGCCTGTCATGTGATAGAGAAATCACGCAAAATAGGAATTAGAAAATTATTGTGCTATCCATATACACATTGCATGTTTGCATACACCAGCATACATGACAACAAGTAAAAGAAAAAAGAATTAACACGGAAGGAAAGAGAATTAAAACAAAAGGAACACCTTTGCATTTCTGAGAACCTTGCCAAATCTGGCTACATTTAATTACTTCCCCTCTTTGCATTTATAAAAGGGACAATTTTTTCCTTCTTTCATTTGGTTTCACGCTCACGTGTTCCATCGCCCTCGCTTGCTGTTTCTTGCGTGAACCATAGTTGATGTCATCTGTCTTCTGTGGCTCAGCCTCCCAATCCCAAGAAAAGATATCTATCTCTCCCTGACTGGAGATCCGACCTGCCAGAGGATCTCCATGAATCCATCGGGCAGTGTCTCGCGTCAGACCACGACGCGGCGTCCTTCCGATCCGCTTGCTCCCCATGGCACGTCGCCGTCCCGTTCGCGACCTTCGGGCCGCTCCTGCTGCTCCCGTTCGACCCTGACTCGGACCGCGTCGGCTTCTACTGCGTCCCGGAGAAGGTCTTGTCCAAGACGCTGCCCGACGTGCGCGGTAAGGTGGCGTGCGGCTCCTCGTGTGGGTGGCTGGCGCTCATGGACGAGGCGGCGTCCGTAACACTGCTGAATCCATTCGGCGGTGCCCGTGCCCCCCGCGTTGAGTTCCCGTCAGCAGACGAACACGTCACGGCGGCGTCCTCATCAGAACGCGTTGAAAGGTCCTAATATGGCTAGAGGTGGGGTGAATAGCCTATTTAAAAATCTACAAATCAGCTAGAGCAATTTGATTAGTATAACAAATAGCGTAATGCAAACTTGCTCTAGCTCTACAAGGGTTGCAAGCCACCTATCCAACAATTCTAGTTGCTATGATAAATAACCACACAATTTTCAATGCTACTACTCACTAAGAGCTCTCACACTTGCTACACTAAAGAGCTCCACTAGATGAACTTAAAACAACAAAGCAAGCTCTCAATTCTAATTACACTAAAGAGCTTGCTACAACTAGTTTGCAATAATATAAATGAGTGAGTAGAGTGATTATACCACCGTATAGAGGAATGAACCTGAGTGAGTAGAGTGATTATACCACCGTATAGAGGAATGAACCAATCACAAGATGAAGATTAAACCAATCACCGGGAGAATACAAATGGCAAGAGACAACCGATTTTCTTCTGAGGTTCATGTGCTTGACAACACGCTAGTCCCCGTTGTGTCGACCAACACTTGGTGGTTCGACGGCTAAGAGGTGTTGCACAAACCTCGTCCACACGATTGGACACCGCAAGAACCTACCCACAAGTGAGGTAACTCAATGACACAAGCAATTTACTAGAGTTACCTTTCGGCACTCCGCTGGGGAAGGTACAACTCCCCTCACAATCACCGGAGACGGCCACGAACAATCACCAACTCGTGTCGATCCTCCACTGCTGCACCAAGCCGTCTAGGTGGTGGCAACCACCAAGAGCAACAAGCGAAATCCGTAGCAAAACACGAATACCAAGTGCCTCTAGATGCAATCACTCAAGCAATGCACTTAGATTCTCTCCCAATCTCACAACGATGATGGATCAATGATGGAGATGAGTGAGAGGGCTTTGGCTAAGCTCACAAGGTTGCTATGTCAATGAAAAAATGGCCAAGAGAGTAAGCTTGAGCCATCCATGGGGCTTAAATAGAGGCCCCCAAGAAATAGAGCCGTTGTATCCCTTCACTGAGCACAACACGGGGTGACCAGACGCTCCGGTCATATTGATCGGACGCAGGACCCCAGCGTCCGGTCCTCAGATCTTCGCCACGTGTCATCGGCTTCAAACGCCGATCGCCCGATTTCAATGGTCAAGAGATGACCGGACGCGTCAGTTAGAAAGTGACCGGATGCTGGACCTCAGCGTCCGGTCGTTTTCAGTAAGGTTCCAAACACGATTTTTCTCGACCGGACGCGTCCGGTCATGCTTGATCGGACACAGCCAGCGTCCGGTCACACAGTGTCTCCTCTGTGTGCCCCACGTCAGCGTACGTCAACACTGACCGGACGCACCCTGCCAGCGTTCGGTCACAGAGCGACCCAGCGTCCGGTCGTTTGACCGACGCCAGCGTCTTCGCTGTTATACCTGACCGGACGCGCCGGTCCAACCGAGGCCAGCGTCAGGTCACTTCCAGTGACCTCCGTCTTTTCTGTCTAGGGCGCCGGTGGCACCGTCGGACTGTACGCACTCTACAGGCGGACACTCCGCCGGTGGAGTTTCTCATCCTTGCACCTAAACTTCACCACCCTTGATCAAATGTGCCAACCACCAAGTGTATCACCTTATGCACATGTGTTAGCATGTTTTCACAAACATTTTCAAGGGTGTTAGCATTCCACTAGATCCTAAATGCATATGCAATGAGTTAGAGCATCTAGTGGCACTTTGACAACCGTATTTCGATACGAGTTTCATTTCTCTTAATAGTACGGCTATCAATCCTAAATGTGATCACACCCGCTAAGTGTCTCGATCACTAAAATAAAATAGCTCCTATAATTTATACCTTTGCCTTGAGCCTTTTGTTTTTCTCTTTCTTTTTTCTAAGTTTAAGCATTTGATCATCACCATGCCATCACGGTCGTCATGATCTTCGCCATTGCTTCATCACTTGGAGTAGTGCTACCTATCTCATAATCACTTTGATAAACTAGGTTAGCACTTAGGGTTTTATCAATTAACCAAAACCAAACTAGAGCTTTCACGTGTGTCTAGGGTCCACGGCTGGTGGGTCCTCCATCCCACCAACGGCTACGGGAACGTGGATGCCGTAGGTAGAGCCATCAAGCTAGAAGACATGAGGGATGTGTTCTTCCGTGAGATCGTGCTCTCGGCGTCACCTGACGCCGCCGGCCGCGAGTGCTTGGCCATGGCCATGCTTGGGTACTCCATGGAGGTCGCGTTCTGTCGGGTTGGAGTCGACAGCGCATGGACGCTGCTCGACACCAAACTAGAGTTCTCCATGGGGTCCAACGTCTACTACCAAGACAAGTTCTTGGTGATCGACTGCACTGGAGAAATCTTCGTCTACAGCAGCAACGCCGTCGGCGCTACTCCAACCGTGACGCTGCTGTCATCGCTGTCGCCACCTGCGGGGCTCTGCCACCGCAGCTACCTGGAATCAAATAGTGAGCTGCATATTGTGGGTGCCGTGGTGAGCACGTTCCACAAGACACAGAGCTTCACCTACAGCAGCGCGATCTATAAGTGCAACCTCCACGACCGTACGTCGGAGTGGTCCAGGGTGAGGGACATCGGTGATCAGACACTGTTCGTGTCTAAATATTTCAATGAAAGCTTCAGTGGAACAAGTGTATGTAAGTATAAGAAGAACAAAATCTACATATCTGAGCCATTGTATGGGGATTCATATGACTTGGTCCATCGACTGGAGATCGTTGATATTGCTACCGACGCATCCGAAGTGAAGCCCGTCCAGGAAAAGATACAGGGTTTCGAGGCTCTAGGTTGGATTCGACCAAATCTCTAGAAGCTCTAGAGTTTATGAGCCCACGACGCCGCGCACTCCGTGACTGTGTTAAATTCATAAACTTTATTTTTTTAGATTAAATGTCACTTTAACATTGATATTTAATTTAACAGTATTGTTATCTTATCGTGCGATCCGTATGTTT